GATCCCCATGTGACAATAAACAGTGCGGGGTTGATGACGTTGCCGCATCGTGAGCATTAGCTTAGGTGCTGTTGCAGAGCTTGCTTCCTCGGGGCTGACCTCAAAGTTTTCTGGGCAGTCTATGCTGTGTGAATAATCCTCTTCTACCGGCCCCTCGAAAAGGCCCGAGTATTGGTCGATGACTCGGACTAACCCCTCAAAGTCTGAAGTCGACCCGGGACCACCTTCTGCCTCGCTCTTCCGTTGCCACTCTAGCAGGCGGGCCCAATAACTCTCCAGCAATCCCTTCGAAGTAACGGAATGACTAGGGACGATCAGGCGGAGCCATTTGCCAACCACTACGGCACTGTTAGCCCTGATCTCGCTCACGCAACGGGCGAACAGTTCGTTTAATCCCAGTTGAGTGGGCAACCTGAAACTGCCAAGGGGGTATCGAAGAATCAGGAGGGATCGTACAGGGATAAGCAGCAAATCTTTTGCAGCGGGTTTGATCTCTTGGGAGTTCTCGCCGTGACAAAGACACAGACGGAGGAGGCGGGTGACATTCCGGACTAGGAGAAGAGTGTGAACCGAATCCTCTAGTCCCTCCATCCCGTCGGTATCAGCCTCGCAAAACTTGGCTTGAAACATCTCTTTGAATGCGCAAGGTGGCCTCCACGCAGGATTATAAAGTGGCGCTATTATACACAGGAGAAAACCGGCCCAACATCTCTTCCAGAAACAATCTTCAGACCTCCCTCGTTCGACACGCAATCGTCTGAGTAGAACATGGCAGAAACGTACCGCGTCGCCTCTTAGGGTACCGATGAGGTTCACACTGTCGGGCTTGTCGGGCAAGTTTTCCAGTACATCCGCCGCGAGTCCCACTGCAGATGCATTGCAACGCCGGAAATCAAACCGATCCCCGGCGAGATCTTGCATTTTGACAAGCGATTCCCAACCGTGGCTCGCAGGGCTGGCGATTGTGTGACAGATGCTTGGCTTGTGCGACGGTGACGAGGTGGCGAGAAGGTCGCGCAGTGTGTCCAGTACCTCACAGGTGAACCAGTCAATCTCTCTCCTGCCGCGCACTTGAACGCAGTACTTGAGACACTGAATGAGAAGCTCTGCAACTTCGCAATCCATGTCTCTGATGTTCTGACAGATGAGGATCTTGGACAAGTGGAGTTTGGAGAAAGCCGAGAGGCATGCTTCGTCTGGATTTTCGCGGCAGTGACGAATCAGCCCCGTCAGAGCAGCCTCTACCCTGGAGGGGTCTTGGAGCTTATCCATCGAGCACAACAGAGACTCGGGGAAGTCCTGCAGTCTCATCTCGAACCGATGCCAGTAGACCATCCTCGGGCACAACAGGTAGGCGAAGATCCTGATGGAGTCCGCCACGAGCCTCTGGAACGATTGCTTCAACCTGCCGACCTCCAAAAACTCCAGGAGCAGCCTCTCAGTTCGGGGGCAGTTCAACTCTGCCACTACACTTGCAATGAAGTCCCGGGCCTCCTGTTCGTCAAAGCTCGGTATGGGCGTCTCCAGCGGCCAATCCCCGGGCCCGAGAGTGGAGAACGCATTACAAAATCTGCTACTGGGTACGACTGGCTCCTTGGCCACCCAGGCGATGTGCGCATGCATCTCGCTAGCAGATTGTGCGAAGGAGCACACTGCGGAAAGGGCCGTTTCCTGGAGATGGACCTTCCCTTCCTCCTCCTTCCCATCCTCTTCCCCGCCCAATTGCCCTCTCTCCTCCTCGCTACGCACTGTGCTGGCCCTGGTGCCGTGGTGGCCGGCACACAGATCCACTAGACGGACCAGTTCCTTGACCAGTTCACCTGCCAAGGGAGTGAAAACAGTGCTCTGCTGATCAGCATCTCTCTGGTCTCGCCAGGGCTGCCAAGGGAGCACAGCAAGGCCAGAAACGACCCGTGCGAGGATGGATGCAGCGAGTCGGACCTCGCTTGCAGCCGCGGGGTTCGTTGCGCATTGGAGCACGCTCAGCAGGATGGAATACCATCCTGATCCGGCGATGTCTCGAATGGCGTCCACATTCATGGAGAACCGCCTGGCCTGGGGTATGTCCTCACCGATATCGGCCATCTCATCCCGGACATCGCTATTCGTTGATTCTAATAGCTCCAGAATAAGCTCAAATGCCGTTAACAGGCGCCCCCGGCTCTCGCTCACTGAATTCTCCGGGCTTGACTCCCTGTGCTTGAGGGAGAGGGTTGGCAGATTGGCTCGAACCATCTCGAAAAGTGAACGCATATCATGAAACCAATACGCTGGCAAGCCGCATCTCTCCGGGTTATTTTTCGCCTCTTTGCCGCTGAGCGAGGGGTGGTCACGGCAGTGGTGCTGGCAAACTAGTCCCTCTTGAAATTCTCTCTGAGTCCTCCATATCCGCTCCCAAAATGGACCTTCGCGTCGACATGGCAAACTGGGATAAGAGGAAGAAGAGGAGTTGGGTGGCCAGATCAAATCTGGCTGTCTTGAATACAAAGCATGTACGTAAGGTAAAACGAAGAGTAGAAATAACAAGACGAGGTGGGTTGTGACGGCCAAGGGAATGACCGAGTCAAGTGTATTGATACTGTCTTTCGCCCAGTCCATCCTCGTCACGTTAGCAGGAAACGAATGATACTGCCTTACGTCGGAGCAAAAAAAGGACAGATACTCAATTTCCCAGGCATACACACAAAATCCGGCAGTCGCCAAGCCCATACATACACCCAGTTGCACTCTAACTCTGCCGCCTAAAACCGTCTGCCCACGAACTTGGACTACTTCATGGAGAGGGGCACCAGCTGGAACTCGAAGCCGAGCGCAGGATAGACGTCCTAGGGACTGTGCACGAACGAAATCGATGTACTTGTACGCAGATAAAGCAAGGGACAACCTGAACGCATTCCAAAGGACCCGTGTGTGCATCTCTGAACCCAAAGCGCCTAATTCCAAGGCAAGCAACGCCAACGCCAAATAGCCAATCACACGCTGGAACTCCTCCACGACGAAGTGGATTGCAAAGAACGACTCAGCAGTTCTACGCGACCTGTGCGCCATTTGGCCGAGTAATTGTCCACAGCAAGGAGCCCTAGACGCCGCACTGCCTACGAGTCCGACAGTCTCTCGGAACCTGACTGATTAGAATCTCAATCACTCTACAAGCAACACATTTATGCCCCAATCTCTCTCTCTCTCTCTCTCTCTCTCTCTCTCTCTCTCTCTGTGTGTGTGTGTGTGTGTGTGTGTGTGTGTGTGTGTGTGTGTGTGTGTGTNTGTGTGTGTGTGTGTGTGTGTGTGTGTGTGTGTGTGTGTGTGTGTGTGTGTGTGTGTGTGTGTGTGTGTGTGTGAGTCCGTGTGAGTGCGTGTGAGTGCATGTGAGTGCATGTGTGTGAGTGCGTGTGAGTGCGTGTTTGTGTGTGCGTGTGTGTGTGTGTGTGTGTGTGTGTGTGTGTGTGTGCGCGCGTGCGCGTGCGCGTGCGTCTGTAATGCGCCCGCGTTCACGCCTCACTTCTTCTGCAAGCGTAGGCCGTGGTCGGTGCCTGTCAGTAAATTTCTTCCTTTCTACCTGTCCCACCTCTGGGGCGTTCTCGCTCCAGTGCTTTCTTCTTCCCCTTACCTCATATTGCGCTCAGGCTACCGTCAAGACGATAGACTGGACCCCAACCCCGTCTGTCCGGCGGCTTCCCCTTTTTACCCTCTCTCCTTGGGCGGCCTCTGTGGGCGATCGCTCCTTGGGCGGCCTCTGTGGGCGATCGCTCCTTGGGCGGCCTCTGTGAGTTCCTTCCACGAAGGTGGACACGCTGGGTAAAAAAAAAAATAAAAAAAATAATCGAGCGATCGCCCACAGAGGCCGCCCAAGGAGAGGGTAAAAAGGGTAAGTCGGCGCACAGAGGCCGCCCAAGAGCACTTTTTTTTTTCTGTTTTAGGGGCTCGCCACACAGCCTTTTCAAATCGGCAAAATCAAAAGTCCATTTTCGCCGCACAGCCTTTCAAACCATGGGCTCCCGTAAACCCTTCGAAAGGTTTTAGGGACACTCAGGGCGTCGCCACACCACTCTCGAAACGTGCAAAATGAGAATGAGCTTCACGCTAGAACATGGCCAGATGCGCCCACCACATTTTTGTCCTTTTCACATTTCGAGAGTGGTGTGGCGGGCCCCTCAGGGACTCGCTCCACTACGCTCGACATACGCAAAAGACAAAAATCATGTCGGTGTATCTTTCCATGTTCTAGGGGAAGATTCTCTCTCGTTCTGCACATTTAAATGGTAGCGGAGCGACGGACCTGGCTCCTCAGAGCCGATCAGGTCCGCATCCGCAATGTGTGCCTAGTAACTGGCCTCTACAACACCCTGGTCTTAAAAAAAAAAAAAAAAAAAAAAAAGTCCGCAGGGAGACTGGTGCTTACCTTGTCGTGGGGAGTAAGGAGTAAGGAGGACACAGCGTAGAAAGTTAGTAGTGGTAGACTCGGGGGGTCGTGTAGAGCGTGTGTGGGGCTTCGAACAGGAAATGGACAGGAAAGAGATAGGGACGGGCGGACGCCCATCTACTCGCCACGTGTCAAGGGACAACGTTGCCACGTAGGTAGGAATTGGGCGTCCTTCCCTCCTTTCTGTTCCCGTTCTATCCTGGTCGTGATTGTTTTCCTTTCCCCCATGTGTCTCCCCTTCCCTCCTCTGCTCTGGGCGCTATCTGTCTTTTCATTCTTGATAGGGAGCAGTAGCGGGTTTCTTTCTAACGGGTCCAAGATGAGTCCTGTAAAATGCTAAACTGGGTAATGGCCTTCCTGTGGGGATTGACCGACCCCCTCTGTATTCCTTCAATGAGTAACGCATGCGTATGTTTTCAGAAACGGGAAATTTGTCCGGCGCCCCTGTAATTTCCATTATTATGTGTCGTGCCCCTCCAACGGCCTACACACCATGTCGTGCCCCTGGGGCCTCCTAACTTTCCTACAGACCCCTTTCAGCAAGGGGCGCAGCTTTCTGCAGTGCCCCGACTGGACCTTCCATCCCATTTCCCCCATCCCTGCGTGAATTGCCCTCATGAGCGGCGTGCATCTTTCCATCATGCCCTCTCGCCGGAAATTCGGATATGAAGAACCCAGTTTTTGTGGTGCTGCCGCAAAAAATGACGGGGTGTGTGTGTGTGTGTGTGTGTGTGTGCAAAAAATGACGGTGTGTGTGTGTGTGTGTGTGTGTGCAAAAAATGACGGTGTGTGTGTGTGTGTNGTGTGTGTGTGTGAGAGAGAGAGAGAGAGAGAGAGAGAGAGAGAGAGAGAGAGAGAGAGAGAGAGAGAGAGAGAGATGAAGAAGCCTCCATATGCATTGCCATAGAGGCGCTCTGAAAAGATGCACCCTACCGGTAGGGGTGTATGGCCAATTTTGTCGTTGGTACTCAAACGGCTATCCAGCAGGGGCATAGTGCGAATTTGGGATGGGTACGGCTTGGGGCGTAATGAAAATATTTTAGGCCCAACCTATTCCAGGGTTTTATGGGAAATCTGAATCGTCATCAGAGGGGCGCGATAGGGTAAATCGGCCATCCAAGGGGCGCAACACCAAATAATGGAAATTAGAGGGACGCCAGACAGAAAAAAAAAGAAAAAAAAAAGAGTAGTTGAGCGAGGCCTTCAGCCTTCAGCCTCGAAAGGAGTTTCGAAATTGCACTATCCTCCCGCCTCGCACGGCCTGTTTTTCAAAAGGCGCCTCGAGGTCTTGTGGAAAAGGGCCGTCTTGAGGTCCACCTGTCAGAACAGAGATTTCGTCAAAACGGACAGATTTTATTTTTTGAACCCAATTGAAAATCCAAACTGGCGGCAAAATTTGATGAAGTTTAGGGTAGTGCGTTCTTAAAACACCCTACCCCTCGATGTCTGCAGACTTCATCGGAGTCCAGATACATCGACGGTGTAGGGCGTTTTCAGAACGCCGTACCCTAAACTTCATCAAATTTTGGCGCCAGTTTGGATTTTCAATAGCATTCCAAAAATAAAATATGTCCGTTTTCACGAAATCGCTGTTTCAGGGTCGCTAGCCAGACGATTGCAGATTTTCGGAAAGTCCGTGTGGCAAAAGGTGGCCTTAGATGGCCAGAGAGGGGGATTATGGGTGGTGGCCGGCTAATCGTAGCGCTAATCCTAGCGCTAATCGAGCGAAGTAGCGCTGCTTTGGTGGCGTTCCACGCTAAATCGATTAGGGTTAGGAGAAGCCTAAGCTACGAAATAGCCTTACTGCCGCCTTTCCCTGTTTAGTGATCGTCGTCTCATAGCCCTTTGTCACCCATACTCACTATCGCTGTCGGTGTTGCTTTTCTCTCCCATCTTTTTGACGCTCTGCGTATGCCTGAGTGTGTGGATACCGGTTCACTCCATCTGCTGTGTCCTTGTTGACATACATGTTAATCTTCTCTGTATCGTTTCAATGGTAGGGGAGTCAGGAGGGCAATCGTTGCTGGCCCTGGGCGAAGTTAAGGACATATCTGTTTCATGGGAACTCCTTAGGCAGCAGCTCGACACAGAATGTGAGACGGCGTCAGTCAAGTCAAACCGGTGGTATCTATTTCGTCTGCGACCTCTGGGATAATTTCGGCACTCCCAGCCTAGGGTGGGGGAGGGAATATTTTGACTTATCCCATACTATGAGGCTATGCTATATGATTCAGTAGTATTGATTGTTAGGATTAGGGTCTCGTTAGACACTCCTAAAAGAATCCTAAAATTTTTTAGACGAGTCCTAAGGGATTTTTAGGATTTCGTGCGGCGTCGTTACACGCAATCCTAAAAATCATCTTTTAGGATTCGTCCTAAAACGTTTCCCGCGGCGGGTTTTCATATGCGTATACGCCGCCGCGTCGCCAATGTCCGTCCATTCATGCCAATGTCCGTCCAATCCCCACCAACGGCTACCGTTCATGGCTGTTGCTTGCGTCGACCCGCCGAAAACCTCCGATGTCCGACCACTGACCTAACGGACCGCTTCTGCACCTGTAACTCTGTGCCGACGGTGTCATGCGCGCGACGCAACGAGTCCGTGAAACACGGGAATCCTAAATTTTTCTCTAGGTCGGGGCCTAACGGAAAATTTAGGACGATTTTGCCTGGGGAATCCTAAATCCTTTAGGACTCGTCCTAACGCCATTTTCACATTTTCGATCTCAAAATTGGATTTAGGATTGCGAGCAACCAAGACGCAATCCTAAGAACAGACACTTTTATGAGTGTCTAACGAGACCGTTAGTCCTTTTCGTTTCTGTTGTATAAGTTGTAAATTGTAATGTGTTTATTTGAGTGAATTTTGAGCGGATTTGTGGTTGCACTCCAACTGACGAAATGGAAGCCCCCTCAACTTCTCAGCCGCTACCCAACAGCGGAGGATCTAATAAGGCCCGTATCAAAGAAAT